AGAGAGTCCAGATCCCACGCTTGAGTCATGTTTTCCACTTGCTCGAAGCAAGCAGTAACCCATCCAGATAAGGCCTCATTGCCTTGATTCTTCTTGATGAAAGCGCTGGCATTGTCCTGATTCAGGAAATATGTCGTGTAAAGTCTTTCCATTTTCTCCTTGTTGTCCAAGAAGACTTGGCCAATGGTGGTCAATCGATCGTTCTCCAGAGTGCAATTCTCAAACTGATTCGGTGAATCTTCAGATGGTCGCCGAGCATGCAACGGTGATTCTCCAGAATCGTGTGATTTACCATCAGAGGAGTCACGGTTCCAGGGTCCGGTCGGAGGTGGTATCTCATAGTTGACGATGGGCTTTGCGGCCTTCTTGAATGCACGGAACAGCGATAAAGAGAACTTCTCCAGTTCTTTGCAGTTGCTGAACAGCAACCTCTTCTCCTTCTCGCTCATCATATTCTGCGCGGTTGCCTCGAAGATGTTGTGCGCGATCATCATATCTATGCAGAATTGATGTTCCGTTGTAAGCAGCTCTTCCAGCGTGCGATATCGCTTTATTAAAGCTTGCCTGGCAGGATCAGGCTGGCCGTCTTCACCTTTCTCGGCTTCACTTGGCAGATCGATAGTATTCTCAATAGGCTGCGGGGTACCGTAGCGATCCTCAAGACTCTGTTCATGAACGTGAAGAACAGGAGTACGTGATCGTGCGGGATGCATTTCGAATTTGTCGTCGTTGAGCATGGGGCGTGAAAGCTGTTGATGTTGTGGCGTAACGTTGTAGGCATTTGGACGAGAAGAGAGTTGTTGGTCGATGGATGGGTTCACGGGTGGGGGCGGTGGTGAATAGTTTGGACGGGGAGGTGCTGGAAGTGAATGCGGCATGCTGTGCTGTAAGTCAAGTCCGAGTCCGCCATTAGTCCAAGCAAGTTGTGGGAGTTCAATGCGGTTGGTTGCGACTGATTTGTGCTCATCTGTTGAGGTTCGTGATAGCGCGTTGTGAGAGGGGCCTCCAGAAGAACTGCCGGAATGAGACGCATCCTCCTGGATGGTCGTGGTAGTAGAACCTGCTGAATCTCGTGAGTAACGTCGCGAGGACGAAGTATAGATGATTGCTGTTCCGGCGCCATCAACTTCTGGCGATTCCTGGTGCAGCTGTGGTGTGTACGAATCCGGGCGTGACGGGGATGCCACTCTCATAGGCTCGCGCCTCGACTTGTCGTGTTTCGAGCCATTGGCGTCACTTAATAGTCGAGCGAGATATGTCTCTGTAGACTCTTTTGATGCCCAATCCTTGTGCTGTGCAATGACGGGCGAGACCTGCTGCACCCTTTCCTTTGATACCGACGCCAACTCTGGGGATATAACTGGCGATTGATGGTACATATTCAAGACTGAGTTTACGACGCTGTATGTCTCCGTGTTCAGCGTCAGCGATCCGAGTGTTCTATAGGGACCAAGACTGGCAGAGTCATCCGGATACAGCGTGTCACGCTTAGGAAGCGAATCCCCTGGCGATCCTTTTGTATCGTGGCGAGAGATTGATGGCATATCTCTAGCATCGTGTGGTTGATCAGAACTATACCCATACGATAGAGCCTGAAGGCCTGCGCTGAAGCTTTCTGAGTCGGGCTCCCATGAATGTGATGGCGGCTCCTCGCCAAGCATGATGGGTATTGATTCCCGAACGCCTAGCTCCGACTGCTCCATTTCAGGCGATTGAGGAGCAGGCCTCTGTGGCGGGGGAGCAGTCCTCTGCGGCGGCGGGTGGAAGACGTGCGGTTGCAAGAGCTGGTGGTCCGGCTCCTGGTGTGCGGTCGGCGGCGTAAGAACAAAGCTTCCTGGCAGCCCCAGTACAGGCGATTCGTCGAAGTCGGTCACGGCTGATGCTGGCTGCTCGAGCGGCGGAACCGTTAGGCTAGACGTCTGAAGGCTCAGACGCTGTTGTTCTAGCGAGGGTGACGAGTGCTCGTCGCGCGACATACGCTGGCCCTGCGTCTGCGCACGGGTCTCATGGGATTGCTCGATTTCAGCAACGCCAGGTAGCCCCGCGGGTTGCTCCTGGGGCGGGTCGAAGCTGCTCGCAAGTGGGAAGTATTCCTGCTCACCATGGGGGCCGGTGCCTGTCGAGTGGGAAGCGGGCGAGGGCTGGAGCGGCTGTCGTTCTCTCGAGTTGCGCAGGCGAGGCGACGTTGGGTGCGGCGGGGCATTGACGACAGCGGACACACTTGGTCCACTCCTGGCACCCAAGGGCGACTTCCCTCGCTCGCGATATCCACGGTAGGCTAATGCGGGGAGCGTGGACTGATCTGTGCCCCGAGAGACTGGAGCGATAGCCGCCGCAGCCAGTACCCTGTCCATTCGGGTGGGCGAGGCGCGGTTGCTGTGGTTCATGGCGCGGGTTGGGGTGTACTTGACGGAGCGCGTCGACGAGTTGGAGTCGGAGCCGGCGCTCAAACGACGTGTCGCTACTGGAATCCTCGAACGCGGCGTGTGTCGTTGGGGCGACCGTGCAGTAGTTTGTTCTTGCGCATGTGCGCGCGGTGCGTGCTGCATGTCGTCGGCGAAGGCTGAGGTCGCCGCGCTGGCAGAGCGGCCATGGTGCGGGCTGGTGAAGGAGGCGGCGGGTGGTGCAGCGTCTCCGTGCGTGTTGTCGAGAACGGGAATCCCGAAGCCTGGCGATAGCACGTCCTGTCCAGTCAGCACTTCGCCAAACAGCTGCCGCCCGCTGGGTGCAGACGCCCGATTCGGCGAAGTCACCTTCTTGGGCGTCGACGAGACGTGGTGGTCGATGCTGCTCCGGCTGCCATTCGTGCGGCGCGCGTTGCGAGGCGATGCCGGGGCGGGCTGGGGCCTGTCTCGCGGCTTCAGGTTGTTGAACTTGTGCGGCCCGTACGAGGCCTCTTTGCTCGGGCGTGCAGCCGATGCTGTCGACGAAATCGAGGCATGCGCACGCCTGGTGACATCGTGAGTGCCAGCCCCAGCCCGGCTCGGCGTCCTGGAGCGGGAGCGCACGGCAGGCGACGTCGTCGTCGAGCTGCTGGCGGGCGACTGCTCGAATCGCTCGGCGAGGGCCCTGACTTTGTTGGAGACCTGGGGGGAAGAGCGAGTGGCTGCCGGCGGCGATGCAGGATTCGAGGCAGACCTCACGGCCGCTTTGGAGGTTGAGCGCGCGCCGTTCGTCATGGGCTGCCGCTGCCGCGCTGCGGGCATGTCGAGGCCGCGTTGCGGTGAGGGAGGTGCTGCGTGCTCGGTCGTCGTGGTGTAGGCGGAGTAGTAGTGCTCGGGTGAGGTTCCCACGTCGTCGTCGGCATGGTCGAGCTCAGTCGACTGCAGCCAGTGTGAAACGGAGAGGCCGGGGTTGTATGCATATTCATGCGCTTGATCAGAATCCATATCCCATAGTCGGCGAGCGCAAAGGCGCAAAAGCAAGGCAGCGCCAACGTTGTCGGAGGAGGTGGGCCAATCTCGAGCAACAAGGGTTGCCAACTCAGACTCGCCGCCTCTCGCTCAGAAGGCGTCTGGGCCAATGACAGTCTCGAGGCCGGTGCTGCCCCAAGTCGACGAGCTGATATGTTTCAGCCTGAAAAGCAAGCGGAAGGGTTCCCGATACGACGCGCTTGTGGGAGGTTCTGAACTGGCTGTGTCAGATCAACAACTGAGCCCACACGGTACATCTAAACTCCGTCGTTACCATGCAGCTAGGAAGCGGGATACCGGCGCCGCTCTCGACGGGGCGGCGCACGACGACGGCCTGGCCTTCGCATCTGGTATGTACATGGAGTAACCCAATATCTTCGACGTATGCTGTCTAGATGGTTTAAGCCAAGATGGATGATCAACATGCTCTTTCGCGGCCTGCTTATCCATCCGTGCTTCTCGATGCTATGGGATGATAGCATCCCGCTTCCCCAGCCCGTAGCTCTACCAGTACTAGCGGATCGTGCTAGGCCTCGTTCCAAGGATAGCCGTGTTTTGCGTACCCAGGGGTAGGTCGATCTGTAGACGCAGCTGACCTAATGGCGTTCTACCAAACAATCGTTCCAAGATTACTATACAATGGCATGCACGTTTACCCTGAACAGAATGATGGGGTTCGGCACAATGTGAGCTTGTCGCGGACAAGACCTGTGGACATGGCAGCATCTACGCGATACTCGCAAGGAGCATCGGAACACAAACAACTTCACTCAGGCGTGCAGCATTGAAGTTTGTAAAATGAACGTAATATCTGATATGCAGCTGACATGAGATGTGTAGGCGAACTCTACGAGGGCCATTCTGATACAAATAGAAGGTACCAGTGTCTCAAAGGCATATAGACATTTCGACAAGATACTGAAATATTTTTGCTTTAGCAACCCTGTTGGAAAGGGCACCAAGAGGCTCTTGCTGATTCGAGTTCCGCATCGTTCATTATCTTTCCCGCCCTGAGGCGTTAAACCGCAGCGTACATCCCAGCACCTGGTCAGGAAGCCCGATATGTGGCTCGTGTAGCTGAGATATATCTGCTTATGTAGATCGTTCAACGGAGCCGCGTTGTCAAATGCACAGCCAGTATGTAGGGATGCCGCGTAGACGCATGTTTTGCGGTGACCATGCAGTGTCCAAGAAGGCTACGCCCAGGAGTGCTCACAATCGAGCAACACGACCTCGATGGACGACCTCGGGAGTGTCTTGTTCAGGCACAATCCATCACGTCAACAGTAATGTACGACCAATCATTGCGCTCTCTCCCACTGCAAAAGCAGGGAGAAACCGCACCCAAGATCAGCCAAAGTATTCCTCTCCACTTCACAGACGGTTTTCGTTCTCATGGAAACCTCACACCGTCCGTAGACGACGGGTCTCTCCAAAGAAAATGCTTTTCGTGAGTGTGCAATTTGTTTGCGTTGTTCAATGAAGAGGAAAGCAGGGACGGCCGCGAGTGAGATTTTCTTCAGCAGGCCGGCGGAACCTTTGGCCGGGGCGCTTGGACGCAGCGAGCAGCCCCGCCACAGGTGGGCTGTTCCGGATTTGGGTTTGAGTCACTTTGTGTGGGATTTGAAGTCGAAAGTTGCCTGCCGCCAGTCTCCACCACCGCAGCTGCTCGACTGACCCGACTAACACCTCGACACCCGAAATCACCAAACCAACTACTCCCCGATCCCCCGAACTCGACACCCAGTTGCCCAGCATGGAGTCCGAGTCCGACCACGACCACCGCGATGACGAGAGCATGTCGGAACATGAGGAGATTGAGGAGACGAAGCCAAAGTCCGCGATGAAGAAGGGCCGGGAACCAGTGGCGCCCGTCGTGCGCCCAGAGCTTCCGTAGGTGTTGAAGACATGAGGCTCTGCGCTGCATAGCTAACGCGCACAAGCGAACAACCAGACCCAAGCACCCTCGATCTCACCGCGCTGAACCCGCTGTCGCCCGAAATCATCTCCCGCCAAGCCACAATCAACATTGGAACCATTGGTCACGTCGCCCACGGAAAGAGTACTGTCGTCAAGGCCATCTCCGGTGTGCAGACGGTCCGTTTCAAGAACGAACTCGAGAGGAATATTACCATCAAGCTCGGTTATGCCAACGCGAAGATCTACCAGTGTGACAACCCAGAGTGCCCTCGCCCAACATGCTACCGGTCATACAAGAGCGACAAGGAGGTCGACCCCGCTTGCGAGCGTGAAGGATGTGAAGGCAAATACAGACTGAAGCGCCACGTCTCTTTCGTCGACTGCCCCGGTCACGACATTCTCATGAGCACAATGTTGTCAGGTGCCGCCGTCATGGACGCTGCACTGCTCTTGATCGCCGGAAACGAGACTTGCCCGCAACCGCAGACAAGTGAGCATCTTGCTGCCATTGAGATCATGAAGCTGAACCACATCATCATTCTTCAAAACAAGGTTGATCTGATGCGGGAAGACAGCGCTGCGTCGCATTACGAGTCCATCCTCAAGTTCATCCGCGGAACCGTCGCTGATGGCTCGCCTATCATCCCCATCTCTGCCCAGTTGAAGTTCAACATCGATGCCATCAACGAACACCTCATCAGCAAGATCCCCGTCCCAGTACGAGACTTCTCTGCGAAGCCTCACATGATTGTTATTCGATCCTTTGACGTCAACAAGCCTGGTGCTGAAATCGATGAGCTAAAGGGAGGTGTTGCTGGTGGTAGTATCTTGACTGGTGTATTGAAGCTAGGAGACGAGATTGAAATCAGGCCCGGTATCGTGTCAAAGGACAGCGCCGGAAAGATTCAGTGCAAACCCATCTTCTCAAGAGTAGTGTCTCTATTTGCCGAGCACAACGACCTGAAGTTCGCCGTTCCGGGAGGACTGATTGGTACGTAGCATTCGCTGCATTCACTTGCTCCTCGACTAACATATCCCAGGTGTCGGTACACGCGTTGACCCTACTCTGTGCCGTGCGGATCGTCTCGTTGGTTTCGTCCTTGGTCTCCGTGGACATCTCCCCAACATCTACACTGAACTCGAAGTCAACTACTTCCTCCTCCGAAGATTGCTTGGTGTCAAGACTGCGGACGGCAAGCAGGCCAAGGTAGCCAAGCTTGCAAAGAACGAAGTATTGGTAAGTTTCAATCCGCAATGGTAGATGACAAAGCTAACACTCGCGCAGATGGTTAACATTGGATCAACCGCTACCGGTGCCAAGGTTGTTGCTGTCAAGGCTGACGCTGCTCGTCTGTCCCTCACTTCACCTGCATGCACAGAGATCGGTGAGAAGGTGGCGTTGTCCAGACGTATCGAGAAGCACTGGCGTCTCATCGGCTGGGCCAACATTGTAGCGTGAGTTTCACGGCATATCTAGTTGCGTCCACAAGCTGACATCTTCATTAGTGGTAACATTCTCCAACCTATCGTCGACTGAGCGGGCATGGCGCGTAGTGGGGTAGCTCTCGAGGAGTAGAACGACAAACTTTACGAAGGGACGACGTAGACATAAGCGGTATGACGGCAAAACACGTGCATTTGGTTCCTAGCATTTTTTGCCGGAGTCGGTTGCGCTTGGAGATGGGCACCAAAAGTGGTTTTCTCGCAGCTGTGTTTTAGACAGCATCTCGAAGCCATGACGGCAGAGGGCTAGCGTCACTAGGGAGCGAGCGTCTTGTGTATCAGTACGTTCTCCAGCACAGTGTAGCCGCATATAATGAAACATGTACATCCACTGGAATTGTTGGGAATGCGGATGACAGCGGGTCACGCAGGCGGAAAGTAGGCCGATCTTCACATGAAAGCCATTCTGTAACATGTGCAAGAAGCTGGCCTACCAACGTCAGATCAGCGTGCTAGCCTACATTTGCCTCACAGTCCCCTCACTGCACGTTGTACGATTTCTCCGCTCTCAGTATTGCTTTGATTGCCTATACGAGGTATGTTTGCGAGGCTCCAGTATTATGCCGGTATAAGGCCAGCACACGCTCAAAGGTTCACGTGCACTGACTCGGGGTTTAGAGTTCAACTTACCCTCGCGTGCTAAACACCGCAACAGTTATACGAGTACGCGCATCTGATTGTGCGGCGACTGGTAGCGTGTCCGTCTTTTCTTCTTTACGCTCGCTGTTGGTATTCCTTTTATCTTGTATTGTAATTGCAAGCATACATTGCAGCGGTCGACACGACAACGAAGTTTGCGGGACCCTGCACAGGACGGAACTGAAGCGCGACGGCTATGGAGGAAGACCCTTCGAAAGCGAAAGCGGCGCCACCTCCGCTGCACATCTACCGCCCCATCCCGCGTCGCAACTTCGAATCCCATAACGACACGGCCGATTCGCCCACGCACGCCTTTTCACAAGCCACGCCTCCGAGCGCGACCGAGAACCGGAGATCGTCTGACTTCCTCACGCAGCTTAATGCGCGCTTACTGAGGACCTTCAACTCGCGCGACGATGACTCGGAAGATCAGGAGAGGGAGAGGGGGCCACCGCCGCGGAACAAGAGCTACTTGAACATGACGAGTAGTACTCTATCTGGCATATACGACGAGACGGGCGCGAACACGGCTGGTGAACTCAGTACGGCGGAAACGCCCTGGGGAACTGGCTCCGAGACCCCCGCACACACTGCCATGGGCCTCCAGCCCTGGGAAGCGGGCATGGGAAGTCCTGATGGCGGACTGAGCCTGAAGACCAAGGCCAGGAAAGGATCCGCCATGGGCAAACTTGAGGGAAGGCGGAGGAGTCATTCGATCAAGCAACCACGCCACGGCGTCTGGAAATACGTCGTAATCTTGGGCAAGCTCGTAGCATTGTATGTCTTTGGCGTCATCTACGGAGTCATTGTCTCGCATCTCCACGAGACGAGACAGTTGGCAGCTGTCCACGTTGAAGGCGTTGATCAAAAGAGCCAGGCCTACCTCGCGACCTGGGGGTTGTTTGGGGTTGCCCTGGGAAGTTTGCTACCATACGTTGATCTCGTGTGGGATGCGCAGCGGAGAGAGGACGAGACTGAAGACAAGGAGACTGAGACGCACGATTCACCCATCAGCGAGCAGATCAACGATGTGGTAAGGAGTGTGGCAGCTTTTGTAGGAATCGCGTTCGCTATCGTAAGTCTCTCATGAACTACTTGACTACACATATTCGACTCCAACTAACGTCCCTTCGCAGCGCCGTCTCCCCTGGCAATCAACACTCCAACTCACCCTAACACTTGCCCTCGTCAATCCCGCTCTCTGGTACATACTCGACCGTTCGAAGCCCGGTCTCTCCGTCTCACTCACCGTCACGTCCATCCTCACGTCCTTCATCTTCCTCTCGAACCCCGACGTCCTTCCCTCGCCGTCTCTACCAGCAACCACAAACGCTACACAAATCCCTTCCATGGGCAGTCACACACATGCAAAAGGCAGGCCAGCACCGGCCGTCACACCAGAGATGTTCGCTGGCATGGTCAGCTACGAGAATCTTGCTGTGGTGACATGGGTGGGAAGCGTCCTCTTTTGCAGTTGTGTTTGCTTTGGGAGTATAGGGAGGAGGTTGGCTGTGCTGGAGGAAAGTGGGTGGAAGAGGTGAAGGTTATTGTTAGAGAGGCATGGATGCCTTGGAGGTCACGTTGCAGTCTTGCGCAACTACGGCTTGTTGGGATATTGCTAGACTTGGTAAACGGCATGGGGCGTCCGGTATGAATTGAAACTATCGGCTCCACGTGGAGCCTTGGACGCCATTTGCCGTTATCGTTAGGTGATATGTACTGCTCATTGATCATGTCTCCGTCTTCTCATGCTCTTACTTGACTAGAGTCACACAGCATGGCTGACACCGCGAGTATCCAGAAGTTGCACTTGCGAGAAGACTCAAATACGACAGGTCTTTATGGATCTCCAGCCTCGAACCTCTATGCCAGGACAGGATATTTCGAAATATGCACAATATAGATTTTGAATCCTAAGACACTGCATGGACCGCTCATTCTCACACTCATATGTCACGTGGATAACGCACACCATAACCATAGGACTAGAAACGGAGAAAAAGAATAATAACCAGCTCTCCTACCTATCTATCCATGCCCCTCCCCCTCAGACTAGAGAAGAAGAGCGCAGGCAAGAGCAAAAAATCTGCAAAAAAGAAGTGTCGCAAATTGGCGGTACTGGGAACTATAGACATGTTAGCGAACAATGTCTCAGTAAACCGACTCAATTAGGAGGTTCAAACGTACTCGAACCCAGGCTGGCGCGGATCTGGATCGGGACAAGCTAAGTTGTCCGCCAGCCACAACGCGACGTCATACCACTAGACCATACCACGGTAGGGCTGTTAGTTTTACTGTAGAACGGGGGTTGGTTGTGCGGTGATGCTTACCCTTGGTGATCTGTTTTGATGGCGAAATCTGAATTTGGTAAATACTTAGTGTTGGCAAAAACCAGGGAGATCTATGCAAAAAAGACTTGGAGGTATTGGTAAGGTGGTGATAGGAATGGGTAAGTAAGTGGGGAGTATGAGTCAAAGTAAAAGTATCGTGGGGACAATTCGCAGTACCGAGTGGAGAACACGGACGATTGGGAATAGTTCGCGTCCGCAGAAAAGCAGCTATGCAGGGACGTATACTCCAAGCAGATTGATGGCTGATCTAGAGAGGCAAGTTTATGTTGCTTTCAAACTTATTTGTGAGAATCAGCATGAGAAACATAGTGAGATGCGTAACGTTTATTGATGCTTTCTCAAGATACATTGTCTTTCCACGAGTGTGCATATTCTCATGTTCATGAATGTTGACAAGCCCTATGGGCTCGATCAAACCAACGGCTTCGGCCACTGACTACCATTTTACTTCACCCCTATCTGAACAACCTCCACGTCTCTTCCTGGTAGATTCAGAAAGCCATCTTGTGTTTCCTCTGCCTTCGTACTCGCGTTGTATATTATTCATACGATACTAAGTAAACTCCGGATACGTCGTTCTACAAGATGCTTACTGCGCCTTGGACAGCTTCGCCCTGCTAGCAGCGAGCGCAGCAGACAGACTGAACTGGGTGTTGATACCGTCGATGCGATGGACAGCGTTGAGGTTCTTGACGCAGGTGATTTGGAAGCAGGTGGCAGTTCCCTGGCGGGAGGCGATCGTAGAGTAGGCAAGGAAGTACTCCCAGATCTGAGCATGATTAGCATCTTGCAATGCAAGCATGTGACGCATTGCTTACCTTGAACCATCGAATGCCGTATTTGGCAACAACCTTCTCCTTGTTGGCGAGCCAGTTACGGTACCACCTCCAGAGAGTAGCCGAGTAGTGTACACCGATGGTGTCAACCATCTTGACTTCAAAACCAGCACCCTCGAGCGTATCGATGACGAAACCAAGAGGAGTAGAAGCGTCGGCACCAGGGAAGACGTATTTGTTCATGAAAAGACCCCAGGTGAAGTCCTCGAATTGCCAAGCCTTACGGAGACCAGCGATCTGGAGGAAGAAGACACCATCGTCGTCGAGCATGTCGTAAACCTGACGGAAGAAAGAGCTCAAGTGGCGGACACCGACGTGCTCGGCCATCTCGAGACAGGTAATCTTGTTGTAGCCACCAGGAGGAAGGGGAATATCACGGTAGTCCATGCAGAGAACGTTGGACTGGCTCTCTTCGATGCCAGACTTCCTGAGGCCGTTGTTGCCCCAAGCAGTCTGGTTGCGACCGAGAGTGACACCAGTGACGTGAGCGCCATAGTTGACGGAGGCGAACCTGGTAAGAGTTCCCCAACCGCAGCCAATGTCGAGCATCTTCTCGCCCTTCTTCAGGCCGATCTTTTCACAGACGACTGACATCTTGTTGTCCTGGAGCTGTTCGAGGCTCTCTTCGGTGTTGATGTCGGAGATGATACCGGAGGTGTAAATCATGCGTGGGCCGAGGAACCAGCCGTAGAAGTCGTCACCGCGGTCGTAGTGGTCGCGTACCTGTTCTTCGTCTGAAGCGGAGTCAGCATATAATCAGTCGATGAATCGTCTAAGTACGTACCCTGGGACCTGGAGTGGACAATCATCTCGGGGATCATGCCAAAGAGGAAGTGCTTGATCAATCCGAGGGTGAAGCGGGGCTTGGACCAGTCGTGGCGCCATTCGAGGATTTCGAGCATGTCGCCATTGAGCTCTACCTCGCCGTCGAAGTACTTCTCCTGGAACGTCTCGATAGGGATCTGCTTTTTGCCGTAGTATGCGTCGCGGTCCTCGGGCTTGTTGAACTTGAGGTAGTGCTCAATGGGCTTGCCGGGGAGTTTGGCCTTTTCGTTCTTGCGGGGCGCGAACTCAGAGGTGAGCCACCAGAAGGGACCGAGAATGGGAAGGAATAGGACAAGGGCGAGGAAAACCCATGTCTTGAAGCCCATGCCCCAGCTCCAGGTGATGTAGGCGGGGACGCCCACCAACAGCGAGATGAGGGCATAGTTGTTGAACGAATCGCGACCGGAACCTTCTGCGGGCAGAGGAGCATTCGCAATGGTCGGGTACTGTTGATCGCCAAATGTCAGCTTACGGGCCCGCGATGTTGACGCTCAATGGCTGGCGGGGTGCTCGTTAAATTGACCACATGCAACTACATACCGATGTCGTCTTGACGCCGCAGTCGAACTCGGGCGTCGTGGGCGAGGGCGCCGGCGGCGTCTCAACCCACTCAAAGTTCTCCTCAGAGGTATTGCTGCTCATCTTGCGTCTCGCTGAGCAATTTTGCAAGATGGGGGAGGTAAACGTGTTGGGATCTCGAGCCTTTAACGGCGGTGAATCTACTAAGCGAATCACCGGGGTGCGCCTGCCCCTGGTAGGCCCTGCAGGAGGTCGACTCGTAGCCTAGCTCCAGACATACCAGCACACCGACGGCGACTCCCATGGATTGACGCGATATACGTTGCATTGCCAGCACAATTCTGCCTAGATAAGGAGTGTGGGGCGTCCAGAAGGTCATAATCATCCACAACTCAACATCCAGTATCTTGCCATGAATTCTAGTCTACGCGATAGGCTTTCTCACCAACGTGTAGGCTCGTTCCGACTTCGGCCATACACGTGTATGATCTGAGGACCCTTTGTTCTCACCAAGATTAACCATAACTTTGCCCACATGGGAACAATTTTCAGATTTGCCAAGCCTGGTTCTAGCATAGGCGGGGCACGCTCAGGACTTCGACGCGTCCGCTAGTAGCTTCCCCCTAACAAAGTCCACCTTCTCCTTGGCAACGCCGGCTTTCTCCAGGTACTTCTCGACGCTGCCGTACTTCTCGCCTATATAGGAGTTGACATTGCTTACCAGGTCCGAGGGACATATCGCAAACTGTTCCGTCAGGCCAATCGATGCCATCTCTTTCAGCCTTCCTTCTTTCTCTGGCTCGAGTTCTGGCTCGGATAGGCGATAGTCTTCGTCGATAGTCTTTTGATCCACACCGAGGAGCAACAGGACCAGCATGACTATGAGCCCAGTTCGGTCCTTGCCCTGCGTGCAGTGGACCAAAACTGGCCAGTTCTTCTCCTCTCCTAATACATCAAAGACCTGCGTGACTTCGCGGGTGCACACGTCCAGCGACTGCTCGGCCAGCCCGACGAGACCCATGTCTTCCATGTGAGGAGCTAGGATTTTGATCGCGTCCTTGCGGTACCCGACAATCATGAGGCCTGCGAGCCTGAAGAATTCGAGCCATGTGAGCTTCGAAAGCAACATGCGCGAGAAGGCCGAGCCATTGAAGTTGATTTCGTGATAGATTATGCCGGGTATCTTGAGGGGCTCCGCTACGTCGTCGTTGGTTTGAGGGACTGCTGCTGATGCTTTGATTCTTGCATTGTGCTTTTGCGCTTGTTCAATATGCTCTGTTCTGCACTGGTTAACACGATTTTAGCTCCTGAGGGTCGTGTCTACCTACTTTGTTCGTAGGTCGATGATGCTCTTCACGCCATATTCCTTCAGTAATCTCTGCCTGTCTTGAAAAGAGGCCTCATCTTCAAAAGTCAGCCTCGCGCCAAGGCATGTGTGTGAGGTACGCACCAGGTCGTGCACTTCGGAACAGTAAGCCGTTTCTCAAACGGCTGCAGCATGGTCAGCTCAAGACCAATCTTAAGGCGCATACATGCATTACCTAGTCCCCGTTGTTTCATTGACAAACTGACTGACATCGCGAAAGTTCAAGATAGTCTTGAGTGGCGTTTGCAGTCCAGCCATGTTTACTACAGCAAACAGACTAAAATTGGTGGTATAGCTATCTGCTGAATCAAGATAGAAAGGTAAAACTCGGTGACGTAGTCAGTTCACACTAACCGCATCGAACCCTGCTTTGTCGCCCGAGGTTGTCGCTGAAGCCAACACGCACCAGTAGATGGAAGTACATTACTACAACAATCAAGATAGAAGCGCGCCATCCTCGTAGCTCACATGATAACCGGATTGCGCTGTTGCGATCAGCAAACCTAATCACGACACCGTCTGGAAATATCCGTCGACTGTGCAGACATTTGGAGCAAGGAACTCGGCTACTACCGCGTACGAGGAAAAATTAAACACCTACCTCTCAGGATTATACATCGCCATGGGACGCTTGCGAATTTCAACTTTTGTGGTCGTGTAGACGGCAGAGCACCTGTTCAGTTTCTTCCTGGTGTGACGTGCCGCTATGTTCCACCATGCCAAGTGTAACGTTCTGTACTCCATATAGGGTGATGTTCTTCGTTCGCTCGACGCAGGGCTGCGATCTTCAGATGTGCACTAGGGTGCTGACAGACAGGATAAACCCTCGACGCACTTGGTACATGATTTGACTGCTTCGGTGAGTCCGTCGCTGGCTTCAGTCAGGACAGGCAAGGCTATGTCGGGCTCGGGCTAGAACCAGGCCTGGAGTGGTAAGGCTGGTGTGAGATTTCCACGCGGAACGCACCCTTACGGCGATCCTCCACAGACCTAGGTAGAGCTCAAGGTTGATATGACATCATCGCCGTCCT